GTTCTCCACTAGAGAGAGATTTGGTTTCTCAAAGGACATTTGATGATCTAGAGTTTTTTTTTTTTTTTTTTTTTTTTTTGGTTGTCACAGCTAGGGAAAGGATGTGACTGGTGTCTAAGGACATGAGGCCAGGGGCATCCCTCAGTAAGGAATTATGGGGCCCAAGTTTGAAAAACCCTGATCTGTATTGTGAACATTTTCTCTATACACTTTTGTGAACATTTTCTCTATACACTTTTGTGAACATTTTCTCTATACAATTTAAAGTTTAGATAGCCAGCAAAAAAATAGATCAACAGTGTGCCAATTTCTGTGGTGTAAATACTGCCAGTGTGATGGTTAACTTTCTGTGTCAACTTGACGGGCCTAAGGGATGTCCACCCAGATCCCCAGTAAAACATTATTTCTGGGTGTGTTTGTGAACGTGTTTCTGGAAGAGATTAGCATTTGAGTTGGTGGACTGAGTAATGAGTGCGCATCATCCAATTTGTTGAGGGCCAGGAGAGAAGAAGAAGGGGGAATTCTATCTCTCTTTTATTTATTTATTAATTTTATTTTTTTTAGAGATGGGGTCTTGCTATGTTGCCCAGGCTGGTCTTGAACACCTGGCCTCAACAAAGCCTCCTGCCTTAGCCTCCCAAAGTGTTGGGATTACAGGCATGACCCACCATGCCTGACCTGTCTCTCTCTTCTTGAGCTGGACATAGCCTTTTACTCCCCTTGGACATCAGAATTCCGGTTCTTGGGCCTTCAGACTCTGGGACTTATGCTAGCCCAGTCAGCTCAACCTCCCACCTTTCTGTTCTCAGGCCCTCAGACTCCAACTGAATTATACCCCTGGCCTTCCCAGTTCTTCACCTTGCGGATGGCAGATTGTGGGACTTCACAGCTTCCATAATTGCATGCGCCAATTCCCATAATAAATCTCTTCTGATAAATACCTATATATCCTAGTGGCTGTTTCTCTGGAGAACCCTGAGTAATACAGTCACTATGGTTGATTTCCAGCTACCAAGGTGGGGTCCTCAAGCCTGGAACTGGGAGGAGGTCTGCAGGAGCCACCATTTTATAGTAAGTATTTCCACCACAAAGATACAACAGTCATAAATAACTCCAAGAGCATAATAGTAAAAATGTAGTAAAATAAGAATTAGGTTCTGTGTATTTATTACCTTCATTTATATTATCATTTATTTGATTACAAGTAAACTCATTTGATATTTAATAATGGCTATGTTTGACAACTGACACAAAATTCTCAAAAATGTAACAATTGGCTCTTGTGGGACAGTAGGCACAAGCCTAGTTGAAGTGAAATGGCTATCACTCTGGAATTAACATTTTAAATATCCTGAGTCTTGGAAGAATCCACTCCATTGCAATTTTAGTTTTCTAGGGAAGGGACTCTGATTGTCCCAGATTGGATCAGTCATTCTCTGTGGTCTAACCCTATAAAGCAGTTTTGTAAAGGTGGCTGGATCCGGAGGGAGCCTGACCCCTTGCCATTAGGAAATTCCCAGAAGCAGCATTACTGGGAGTGGACGGGCGCCCTTCGAGGTGCCTGTGACCGTGCTGCAGATACCACCTACCCAGCCTTCCCGCTCTGCTCTGATTCTCAAGACTCGTGCAGACTGCATTTCAGACTGCAAATGCACTTTTTTCCCCCCAGGGGATGACAAAATAATGTATTAGGTCAGCAGTTCTCAAAATGAGGTCCCTGGATCAACAGTATCCATCTCCCTTGGGAGTTTGTTCAAAAAGCAAATTCTTGGATCCTACCCCAAGCCTAGGGAAAGACAGTTTCTGGGGTTGGGGACCAGCCGTCTGTGTTTCAAAAAGTCCTCCAGGTTATCCTGAAGCATGTTGAGGATTGAGAGCCACTGTATTGAATCACAGAGCTTTTCTTTGCTGTTTAAGTTACATTCCATCTTTTAGGGCAGCAACAAAACAAATCCAGGTGATCCTGATTCAATCTGGCATTTCCCTCCAGTCTCCAGAAATGACACATAATTTCCTAGGATGAGTTACCTCTACAGAGGAATAGTTCATCAATCCTATACTGATTTTTACTTTTTTCTTTTAGAAAATGACTGATTTTTAATTTCTGCAATTATAACCGCATATACACTATTAAATCTTACATAATTTAACTTTTTAACTTTTCAAGATCTATTTCTCGATTCCCCAACTAGCTGGCTATCTCTTTGTGGGTAGGGTCTATGTTTTGGTTTAGGTCACAGAAGCTAATGTAGTACAGAGCTCATATATTAGATATTTAAATATTGGATGGAATAACTATGGAAATTTTTAAAATTCTTTGTCTGATCTTTTGCTTTCTTTTATAGGTATTCTTCAAAATGTACCATATACAATGTTTAAAGTAGACATGCTAGAAAATTTATAAATAGTCTAAATAATAATTAAACAGAAAAAGACTGATACCTGAATTTCCCCCCCCATATTATGAGATTTGTACCAAATTGTGGTATAAAGCAGAAAATAAGAATCTCCAATTGTTCTACTGTCCAGATAAAAACTTGATATTTTGGTACGTTTCCTTCCAATCAATGTTTTATTATGTCTATATGTTTTTGTTAAAAAGCATATGTGTATGTTTTTGTTAAAAAGCAGAGACTATGTGCTATAAAGTTTCATCATTCTACTTTTGGACTGAATATTGTGTCATGGGCATTCCTACTGAATTTTTAAAAACATGGTTTTTAATGATGCCATGTGATTTGGTTGTATGTATAAACCATATTTTATTTAACTGTTCCTACATTTAGAACACTTGGATTGTTTCTAATTTTTCATTTTTATTTCTTATTTATTTATTTTTGTTTTAGAGATAGTGTCTCACTCTGTCACTCAGGCTGGAGTGCAGTGGTGCGATCAATGCTCACCGTAGCCTTGAACTCCTGGGCTCAAGTGATCTTCCTGCCTCGGCTTCCCAAAGTGCTGGGATTACAAGTGTGAGCCTCTGTACCCAGTCCCAATATTTCACTTTTTAAATAACGATTGTGATGAAATGGGATGCATTTTTTTTTTTAAATGAATATGGTCTCTCTTAGGGTCAGGGTGATTTGTTCTTTTAAGTGTTTCTTTTCTTTTCTTTTCTTTCTTTCTTTTATTTTTTTTGAGACAGAGTCTTACCCTGTTGCCCAGGCTGGAGTGCAGTGGCACGATCTTGGCTCACTGCAACCTCTGCCTCCCAGGTTCAAGCGATTTTCCTGCCTCAGCCTCCTGAGTAGCTGGGACTACAGGCACATGCCAACACGCCCGGCTAATTTTTGTGGTAGTGACAGGGTTTCACCATGTTGGCTAGGATGGTTTTGATCTGCTGATCTCGTGATCTGCCCGCCTTGGCCTCCCAAAGTACTCGGATTGCAGGCGTGAGCCACTGCGCCGGGCCTCTTTTAAGTATTTCTAAATGCTCCTGGATATCTTTTCCCCTCCCTTTTGAATTGAAAAGCTTGCTTGTCAGTTGCTTGTTCAAGTATTTCTCTCTACCACTCTTTGATCTCAGGCCTTAATCAGGATTGAGTGCACATGTTTACATAAACATAGAAATCAACGAAAGTCTAAAATGTAAGAGGAGGCTGTTAACTGTAGCTGGTACCTTCTCTGGTTTGCACTGATAGTTTTCCAGCTGGCCAGCCATCGTGTTCTCTGTAAACCTCCATTGCTGTTACTGTCATCTGTCCTAACCCTTTAGGTTTTTTTTGTGTCTAAGAATCCCTAATCCCTAAATCAGGAAAATGCTAATAAATTATTATTTGCTCATTGAATTAGTGACCTGGGAAACCCATATTCATACAGGAGTGTTGCCATATTTAGTTCAAGGACATTTTCCTATGTTGGCTTATTTCTGGCAAAAGTCAGGTATATTTTATTTTATTTTGTTTTGTTTTTGAGACAGGGTCTTGCTCTGTTACCCAGGCTGGACTGCAGTGGCACGATCCCCACGCACTGCAACTTCCACTTCCCGGGTTCAAGCAATTCTCCTGCCTCAGCCTCCTGAGTAGCTGGGACTTCAGGCATCTGCCACCACACCTGGCTAATTTTTGTATTTTTAGTAGAGACGGGGTTTCACCATGTTTGCCAGGCTGGTCTCAAACTCCTGACCTCAGGTGATCTGCCCACCTCGGCCTCCCAAAGTGCTGGGATTATAGGGGTGAGCCACCACATTCGGCCTCAGATATCTTTTAGATGAAGTATCACTGACACCCCCCCACCCCCGCCGCCCCGAAAGACTTTCTAAATTGAAAGGAACAATTCAATTGTTCATTTTTTTTGTTTTGTAAAGCATTTTACCCCTTATCAGTTGACCGAACAGAATGATATGTCTTACCTTTTTTGAGTAAGAAAAACAAAACGTCAAATATTGTTCAATTATGATTTAACAAAAACAATTTTTAAACGTGCTTCAATGACACGAAACAAAAAATAAGTCCACTGTAAACAAATTTTAGGGACTTAAAAAATCTCTGACATAATTTTCCTCTTCAATTTAACTTTTTTTCCCTTGGGTTGGACTTAAAAAAAAAAAAAGGAATTTCTGATTACCTCTCCAATCATGTCACTGAAAAATCTTGATTGCTGAACACGTGACCAAAAAAGTGATTAGTCAGCTTGAGGTAAATGCTCAATTATCACCAAGATTGGTAAGCAATCTAAAACAGAGGGAGTGGAGATAAATTGACTTCCAAACTGCCTTAAAGGGATGTAGTCGTTTAAGTTCACAGGAAATTTAACAGGGTAGTAATGAACACTGCTCTTTGACTCTATTGTTACAAGTTAGTATTATTATTTAGATTTTTCTTATCCTTTAGTACACTAATTTTGCAAGCAAGTAACTTCAGAAACCCTAATGTAAATTTCCAGTTAATAAAGATCTTGATTTAACTGGCATTATTGAGGTGTTCTTCGAGAAGGCTTTTGGAACGGAACTAGCAGGTGCAGAGGGTACTATTAAGACCCGGGTTTCAGTCCACGTTCACGTAAACCTCTCTACGAGAGCAAACTACAGGCGCCCTGCCGGAGGGCGCCGCCAGGGGGCACTCACACACAGCTGCTTTGGCCACCACAGGCGCCCCGGGGCGCTCTCTTCCCTCCTCTCGCTCATCCCAACTTCCGCCGGAAGCGGCCCTGTCAGTTGTTGTCTTCAGGTGTTTGGGCTTGTTGTACCGTATACTCAGTGGGTTCGCGGCCGCCGGCCGAGTGAGGCTGGGTTCGAGGAGCTGGAGCGGGAAACTGGAGCTTAAATTCTGGCGGTGAGATGGACATTCTGAAATCAGAGATCCTTCGGAAGCGGCAGCTGGTGGAGGACAGGAACCTGCTGGTGGTGAGGACCCTGTGGTCGTGGGGGTCGGGATGGGAGAGTGAGTGTGTGTGTGTCGGGGTTTTGGGGTGAGGGTGACGATACTCAGAGGATTCGGGGCGGGGAACGGGCTTAGCGAGTGTCCTGCCACTATCTCTGGGAGGCCCCCTTTAGATCCAACCCTTGGCGTCTCACTCTGAGGCTGGAGAATAGAGTCTGGGGCCAGGGAACTTGAGTCCCATTCATTCTGACTTCCTAAAGCTGGATCAAAAGGAAAACACCTGGGTCTGGGGGCGGGAACCTGAGGCCAATTAACGCCCACGTCCAAAAGCCAAACCAAGAGGAAGATCCTCATCTTCCCACCACCGAGTAGCAGAAGCTCCAGGCTGCTGCTCTCCCCGCATCCTTCCCTTCCCACCGCCTCTCAGATGGGAACGGAACGTGCCCTGCATTAGCCGCGGGCCAAACACGGGCCTTCCCTTCATCATAGGGCGCCAATTCACCTGTCTTTAGCCACAGGACCAAACCCTTCATCCGGATAAGGGGTAACTGGTAGAGACCTCAGAAGGAGTACCTAAAACCCAGAAAACTTTGTAACCGGGGCCTCGAGCCGCTTGCTCGGGCCCACTCGCACCCTATGGAGTGCTATCTCGCGTTAATAAGTCCCTGCTTTTGCTGCTTCATTCCTGTGTTTTGTTACTTTCTTTGTGCGTTTTGTCTAATTCTTTGTTCAAAACGCCAAGGACCAGGACAACATACACTCACAGCCTTCCTTCCGGTAACTACTCGGGAGCCTTAGGGATGCAAGTGTGGGAACTGCAGGAAAACCTGAGGCTTTGGCTATTTCCCCCCGACTGACCCTGTTCCCCTCCAGTTTACCTAATTGCCCCCTATCCCCACTCCCACCTGTCAGCATTCTTCGGACGTGCCTCAGTTCTGAGAGTTCCCTTCTGTCGCCTTACGTAGGGTTTGTGCCCAATTGAAGCATGGAACGCTGAAATCCCAGCACTTTGGGAAGCTGAGGTGGGCAGACCACCTGAGGTCAGGAGTTCGAAACCAGCCTGGCAAACATGGTGAAACCCCATCTCTACTAAAAATTCAAAACTCAACTGGGCGTGGTGGTGCGCGCCTGTAATCCCAGCTACTCAGGAGGCTGAGACAGGAGAATCACTTGAACCTGGGAGGCGGAGGTTGCAGTGAGCCGACATTGCACTACAGCACTCCTGCCTGGGCGACAGAGTGAGACACCCTCTCAAAAAAACAAAAAAAAAACAAACAAAAAAATTCCTTCTAGCCAGGTGTGGTGGTGTGCGCGTCTAGTCCCAGCTGCTTGGGAGACCAAGTCGGGAGGATCGCTTGAGCCCAGGAGTTCAGGCTGCAGTAAGCTATCATCGTGCCACTGCACTCCAGCCTGGGTGAGAGAGCGAGTCCCTGTCTCTTAAAAAAAAAAAAAAAAATTAAGTAAGTAATAGAAGTTCCTTTCTAATAGTAAATCCAATTTTTAAATTCTATTCCTCCTTCTTTCCTCTTCTTCAACACATGAAAAGTCTGTAGGCCTGCTCTTCACTGATGGGAATGCTAAGACTCTTTTGAAAAGGTACTAAAAAGGGGGAGAAAGAATTACATGATTTAGGAACTTCCTGAAGATGATCTCCCTTACTTTATGGTGTAACAGTGGCGGTTTAAAGCCACTACCTTGATTCTTGCTAAGGCTTTAGCAAATTTACCATTGCTTTTCACCTACAGTGCAGATGCGAGCAGCAGGCAGGTCCGAGCTAGCAGGCAGATAATGCCTTGCTATAGAAAACAGTTTTGACTTCATGAGTCCTCTCAGAGGGTCTTCAGGACCCATAGAAATCTGTGCATCACAGAACATCTGACTTAGATATTTGGACGTTGTGTACAATGGATGTATATGATGTAGTGTAAGTAAGTTAAAGTTCTTAGCTTGGTAGATGGCAAATTTCACGATCATTGAAACTTTAAAAACAAATTAGAAAGGTGGAGGTAATAGAATGCTGTTTGGTAGGTATGGGGAAAAGCTTGTTCATATTTGTACATTAATGTTTTTATGTCTACTTTAGGGACCTTTTGCTGAGTGGTTGGGAGTATTTTAGGTATTGGAATGCACAGTTGATGTTAGGAAGGGCCAGGGTGTTGAAATCTAAGTGCTTTAAAGGGAAAAGTTAATCACAAAATATTCAGCCCACCCTCAGGGTTCACAACATGAATATTTGCATAATCATGTTCTTCATCATTGAAGTGGACCAATCTGTAAAAATGATCATTTAAAAAAAAATCTTTACATTCTTCAGGGTCATTTATAATTTATATAAACTTTTCCTGAGTGTGTTTCATTTTTTAATTTGGTAGTTGGTTGAATTATCACATAATTCCAGCCAGAAGATAAGATTGATTTTTCCAAGCACAGAGCAGTTCAGACCAACAAAGGGCGTACATGAAATAGGAATTAAAATACTGACATTCAGCCGGGTGCGGTGGCTCACACCTGTAATCCCAGCACTTTGGGAGGCTGAGATGGGTGGATCACAAGATCGAGACCGTCCTGGCTAACACGGTGAAACCCTGTCTCTACAAAAAAAAAAAAAAAAATTAGCTGGGCATGGTGGTGGGTGTCTGTGGTCCCACCTACTCGGGAGGCTGAGGCAGGAGAATGGCGTGAACCCGGGAGGCAGAGCTTGCAGTGAGCTGATACTGTGCCACTGCACTGCAGCCTGGGTGACAGAGCGAGACTCTGTCTCAAAGAAAAAAAAAACACGAAAAACTGACAGTCGTAGTTTCTATTAACAGTAATGTTAGGCATCATGCAACGAATGTTTTCTAATTTAACTTGTACAACAAGTTACCATTATTCCCATTTACAGATGAGGAAACGAAGCTAAGAGAAGTTACATGACTATGAGATTATGCAGCTAGCAAGAGATAGAGCCTGGATTTGAACCCTGGTCTGTTCCTACTTCAAAGCCTGTTCTGTTATCCTGTACAAATAGAATGGATATTTATTCACCTTACAAACATAGAACTAGTTTTGATAGGGCTAATGTAAGAAAGCAGTGGAAAATTATTAGATTAACATGTGATTTATATTTTTCAAAGTGCTATATGCTATCTGATTTGAGCTTCACAACTGTTAATTAGTGCACAAGGCAATGCTGTTTTCATGGATGATGAAATTGAGACTTAGAGGGTTACATGATCTTCTCATACTCCTTTGGCCTGCCAGGATAGATCTCAAGTCTTAGACCAACTTGAGGGTGAGTGCTCTTGCATGATGTAAGGGAACACACACAACTAGGCATCTTTTCTATTGTGTCCATGGGAAGACAGTCTTTAGATCTGCAACTGTATCATTTCATGCAGAATAGTTGCTTCATATCTTTTATCTTTCTACATCATAGTGCCTGTCAGTAACTTTCAGACTTTTTCACTGCCGCGTTCATGGTAATGCATTTATATATATTGATCTGATACGTATGTGAAAAAAGTTTTATGAAATCTTACCACAACTGCAAATGATTTTATCATGTTTTATTCAGTCCTCCTTTTTTTAATCAGTTATTTAATTAGGTTCTTCTTAAGAATTGTAGAACACCAATTTGTGGGGATAAATTCCATGAGTCAGGGCAAACACAGATCGCAGGTGGCCCTGGAGCTGAGGAATAGCTTTGATTTTTGGTAAAATTTGTGAGTCCACAGCTTTCTGATCAATCTCATATTTCTCTTTTTCTGTACTGAAGATCTTAGCTTCCTTGTGTCTGGGCTTCTGCAGTTGCTGCTGCTTGAATAAGTGTCAGTGGGATGTTTTGGGATTTTTACATTGCTGATCACAATTTTGGTTGAGGTGGCAATGACAAATTTCTGGTGTTTTCTTGGTAGAGGAACTCGATTGAGGACCAGAGGTTCAGTCACTAGGAACAAGCCACTAGCCAGCTGCTTCAGGAAAACCACCCTCTTGCCTCTGTGGATTCCAGTGAGGATGGTCAGAATGGTCCTGGTGGTAATGCTGGCTCTCAGTTTTCTCACTTGTCAACTGAGGGGTTTTGTTTTGTTTTGTTTTGTTTTGTTTTGTTTTTTGCCGTGGCTCAACAACTTTCGAGGCACATTTTCAGTAGGAAAATATCTAGGCATTTTATGAAGTTTAACCACCTGGGTACTACCATTCTTGTCACCACCAACCTGTTTTGTAACAGTTGCAAGAACCTTCTTATTCTTTTCAACCTTAGGCTTAGCGGCTGAGTACTTCCTCTTATACCCGGCCTTTCTGGAATACATAGCAGATGGGGAATAGCTGCCAATTCCTCTGACAAGGACAGGATTGCGCTGCAATGGGGTTTCCCCTTCTTGGGCTTCTTAGCTTTGAGGTGACCGTTTTTCACCTTGCCACCAGCCTCAGTCTTCTTGGCTTCGGGTTTCTTCACTTTAGTATCTGGCTTCTCAACTTTTTCACCCACCATCTTGCAAGATGGGAAAGAACAAGTCCCTTTGTTTTAATTTTTTAGAAAACACTGGTCGGGGATCAGTAGATTGTTGTCATTACCGCATCTGCAGCTGGAAAACAGTTGTCTGTGTGGTATTGTTCTTCCAGAAAGAAGAGACACCTCATCTTTGGTCATTTCAAGTGGTGTCCCAGCTTTTTGTGGTTAATCCGTGATAGTTGAAACAATCAGTACTTAGCTTGTGAGTGCCTCTTTGTCAAACTGCAGAGAAGTGACTGAGATATCCTCTTACCACCTGTCCTAAAATGCCCTGCCTGGTATAACCACCCTGAGGTAAATGTGGTATCTGCATTGCTAGAACACCAGTGTTTTGGAGCCTAGAATTGGTGAGTCTTCATTTAATGCAAAAACCTCGTGGAAAACCAGGCTGCTTTAGAAACTTAATGGGGAGTAATTAGTAGTTTTACTAGTTGTAGTTATTAGGATGAGCTATGTGTAGAATTTTAGCTTTTTTTTCCTTCCAGTATTTACTGCATCTTTCCTATATGCAAGATACTACAGTGTGCTGCAATAATAATGCTACAATAATCAAAACAGCATAGTGCTGGCATAAAGACCAACAATTACATCACTAGAATATAACAGAGCACCCAGAATGGAGCCACCCTTACACAATTGTTTGAGTTTTGACAAAGACACCAAAACCAAATGGAAGGAAAGATATTTTCTGTAAATGATGCTGAACAACTGGATATCCATACAGAAAAAATAAGCAATAACCCCTAACCCACATTATACAAAATATTCTGAAATGAAGGACCAACAGAAGGAATGGCAGGAGCCAATATGGGAGACATTGGAAAGTAAAATTAGTAAGGAGAACTGTATACTAGTTCTAATACACTGGAAAATCTAAGTGAAGTAAATGGCTAAAAAGTACAAAAAAATACAAGAAATAGAAAATCTGAGCAAACCAGTAAGTGAGGAAGACATAAGAAGAATCTGTCAGCTAAGAGAAGACAGTTACTGAAGAAGGAAGGAATGAGCAGTTAAATTGAAGACTGAATGAGATCAGTCAGAGAAGTCCCTTTGGATTTGTACCTTAGACATTATTTATGATCCCAGGGAGGTTTTTTCAGTGAAACAGACTGGATGGCCATATGCTGTGGGGCTGCAAAGAGAAATAGAGGTAAGGAAGTGGACGCGGATTAAACAGTTTAATGTGGTTCTGCTGTAAATGATACCCAGGGCAGAGTCTTGAGCATACTTATATGATAATTGTCAAGAGCCAGTAGAGAGGGGAAGGATGAATATGTGAAGGAGAAAACAGCATTGATGATGAGAAGTCCCTGAGGAATTGAGGTCTGGAGTAATTGGGAAGGGATTTGCCCTAGACAAAGGAGGGTTTTCTGTTCCTTTGTGAAATGAAAGGACCAAAGCAGGTCCAGGTCAGGACTGGAGTTGGGAGGAATTTGGAGGAGTTCCTGACTGGTCACTTCCGTAAAGTGAGATGGTTTAGTCATCCGCTGAAAATGAGGGGAGAATGAAAGGATGGGAAGTTCATGAGAATGGAGACAGTGGAATGGTCAGTGTAGACAATAGGAAAGAAAATGAAATGGATGAATACCCTAGGACCAATAGGCAATGTTGAGGCCCAAGTGGTTTTTGCCAGCATTGTTTTGAGCATGCTGTAGGCGTGGAGAATGCCAAGTGGACTTAAACTTACTGGTCTCAGGTCTCATTCTCAATTATTGATAGCCCCAGAGAGCTTTTATTTACATAGGATACATTTATTGATAATTACTATATTAGAAATTAAAGCCAGGAAATTAAAAAATGTATGTTCCATGTAGAAATGCAATAAACCCATAGTATGCTAACAAATATTTTTATGACAAGACGATATTTGCAAAAACAAACACTTTAGTGAGAAAAGTGACATTGTTTTAGAAATCTCTGGCATATTAGACAGTTGGATTCTATTTCTCCCTCCAATCTGTTGCTGTATGTTGTTTTTGTTCAAGTACATGAAGAAAATTCATCCACAGATAAGTAGTTGGGAAAAGGAGTATTTTAATAGCCTTTTCAGATTTGTGGATATTCTTCTTGATACTACACCAAAACTACACAAGTGGTTTCTTAAAGGGCAGTTACAATGTGGATTCTGAAATCATTTCAATGAATTTTTCATCCATTAAAGCCTGCTGATCTATTTTGCTCTTCGATTGGATCTTTTTACCTACATGTGATTTTGTAACATCTTAATTTTGTAATGTCATGGTTCAGTGAGTTATGCGAATCTTCTTCATGTTGACATTTTCATTAGATAATATTTAAAAATCACATTTATTAATATCACCACTGATTTCATTGGAAAAGGCTGCAAGTATTGGGAAGCTATTAAATAGCTCATGGTGCTGGGTACAAGTTTTCCACTTTTCCAGTTCTCAGTTGACACCTGGAATTTTATCATTGATGGTAAATTCCATCATTGTTTTCTTTTAACTTTAAGCTTGTTTTGTTCAATTCTGAGAAAATGTCTACCAAACACCCAAATCTGACTAATCAAACGATTGCACAAGTGCTTTTCTTTGAGAAAACCATTCTACTTTAGTAAGTAACAGAAGTGCTTTATACATTTTATTTTTTCATGCTGATTATTAAAAGGCTGTGTACTCAAAGGTTGAGATTTAGGAAAATTACACTTTGTCAAGGACGTTCTTAAGAGAAACTAGACTTTATTTTCTTGCAAGTGCATGTTGGTGAAGAATACAGTGACTACTGGTACAGGTTGAAGGCATTGCCTTTATTTATGCTGATGCCAGTAGTCCGCCTTCCCAAATCCTACCCCTATGTGGCTTTTGGACTGTCAGTGCAAATCTGAGCGCAATGAAAAAGGGGCACATAATGTCTTAGTATATCATGAAAATAAATTTGACCTTGCAAAACCTCTGAAAGAGCCTCTGTGGACCACATTTTGAGATGTTCTAGGCTTGAGATTTTGTTAGGTGTGTTCAATGGAATTGAGACATGGTCGTCACAGGTAATATAGTCAAAAAGACTGGACCATGGCCTCCGGCCTGGAGATTTTTTCCTTTCTTTCTACATATCAGCCTTTTCTGAAAGGATACCAATGTGTGTTTGCCAACTTATTTGAAATATGACAATTATATACTACCTAGTCAAAAACAATTTTAGATGCCAAAATAATATTTTGGGAGTGAAGAACAGTAGCTTGGAAGACTAGATCAGAACCAAGGGTTTAAGGACCAGAGTTCTAGCTGCTACTACTCATTCTTGTTGAGTTCTGGGAATGTCACCTAACCTAATTCTCGGCTTTCTCACCTCTAAAAAGGGGTTAATACTATTTGCCCCCACCGTACTCAGGGTAGTTTTGATGTTCAGATGATACCATCGGTTCCTTACCCCAGATAATATCTTCATCTTTATTTCTGTAAAGCTGTGCTTGTTGTGTGGTAGATAAGTCTGGAAATGTTTATTGAGTTAACAGATGAACTTTTAGAAAAACTTTATCCTGAAAGTTTTAAACATAACACAAAAATAGATAAAATTTTATGATGAGCCTCTGCATATCCTTTCCCTGAAACATGCAGCTCTAGAAAATGATGTGTTCTTTTAAAACCAAAATATGATCACACCCAACAAAATTAAAATTAGTTTGTTAATTTTATCAAATACTCTTCTCACATTCATATATTTTCCAATTGAATTAAAATACCTACATACATTTGCTTTTACAGTTGGTTTTTCAAGTCAGGTCAACATGAAGTTCGATCCTTGAATTTGCTTATTATGAATCTTGGTTTCTTTTAATGAAGAACATTGTCATTTTCTCAACTTCGCCGATTTTTTCCATGCCATTGACTTGCCGGAGAAACTGGGGCTAGTTTTGTAAAATGTCTTTGACTTGTCTGATTGCTTCCTGGCATATTGACACTTAGTTAATTCTTCTGTTCCCTACATTTAACAAGAACACTTCCTAGATGATGGCTGGGTAATTCCTGTAGTATAACATAGGTAATACATAATCTCTTACTGATGTCAAGCTTGAACATTGGGTTCAAATGGTGGCAGGCTGATCTTTCCATTGTCACCAGCGGCTTTTTTCATAAGGCTTTAGCATCCATTGATGATCACTGCCTGAGTGAATGAGCTTTGGAACTATGAGGTGCTAAATACTTGTGTGGAGGTAGTACAGAGGTACTATTATATCATTACTGTTAATACAGTAGGGGGCAATATCTTTATTTGAACAAAGCCTTCAGTGGAATAATATCCAAGAGGCAGAGCTGAGATAGCAACAAGCCTCCAAATTATGGACTGTAGATGTAACAATAAGGATAATTTTGTGTATAATGTGGAAAGGACTGACATCTTTTTGGGGCTGACAGACAAGACTTAGAGCTTGTCTCTTTACATCAAATCATATCAAAACAAATACCTTGTGAGAGGATCATTTGAGCCCAGGGAGTTGAAGTTGTGGCCTTGATTGTGCCACTGCACTCCAGCCTGCGTGACAGAGAGATACCCTGTCTCCAAAACAAACAAAAAACCAGAAAAAGGCACACAACCCCCAAATATCCTTAAATCATTTTTTTAAATAAAAAGGTTCACCAAGACCACCCTATATCTAGATTATTTTAGGAACTGACTGATATAATAAGGTTCCAGGTAACAAGAAAGAACTTACATTACTGGAATTCCCTTGTTAGGTGGGATTTCAAATGTAGGCTATATATGTCATAATTTTGTTTCTATTAGGAAAAAATAATTGAGATATACCATTTTATGTGGTTCATAATGAATCCATTTGAAGAAATTATCATTGAACTCAAACATTAAGAAATCAAAACATTTGGAAAATATTCTTGGTCTTCTCTTTGCGGATGAACCTGCCTACTGATTGATACTGCAAGAAAAATACTTGAACTTATCACACATCGGTGCCCTTAGTCATAGTGGAGGGTTGGTGATGTGTTTGGGGAATCAATGTATTCATCTCTGGAACCAAAAAATATTCATTTTATCAAATTCTTGAAAAACTGAAGAGTGTTTTCAAAAGGTTTCTAAAGGTACTTGTTGACTATGGGACATGAACTTTTGCCCAAGGATTTACTATTGACATAATTTTTTTTTCTCGAATAGGAAAATAAAAAATATTTCAAGCGTAGTGAGCTCGCCAAAAAAGAAGAGGAAGCATATTTTGAAAGATGTGGGTACAAGGTATGAATGTCTGCTTTTATGTTAAATTGTATATTTCTGAGTTTAAATTTATACAGCTGTTGTTAAATGACAATCATTGATCTCTGTTCAATTTATCAATGTTATACGTTAGCCTATAAATGAGAAGCCATCTGGAGAGGTATGAGTTTTTGTTTTTGCATTTTTAAAAAAATCTTGAATTCAGGAAAATACATGCATGACTTTTGGCTTGGAATGGTTTGGCTTTTTGTGGATGGCATGAAGTGGCTTGAGATCAAAGCTTGAATTTTTTTTTTTTTTTTTTTTTAAATTAAGTCCTGAATCTGAGACTGCCTTATTTTCAACTCCACCACCACTCCTCTCCCCTACCTCTCCCAATAAAACAGTCCATTTGGAAAGAGTTCAAAACATTTATTCATCTAACCACAGTAATATTAGTGGTGGTAATTTCCCTGCCTTCTCCGGAATATTTTAAGCCATCGATTTTATGTTTGCATTGTTAATACTTACTTCCGGGTCTTAAGAACCTCCGCCTAAAGTATAAAGCCGTATATATTTATATGCCTTTGTTGTAATAAGGTATCACATTTCAAACACTGTTTAGTCTATTGGATAGAAAGTGTCATCTTGAAATATTTCTTAGAAACAAATGAGTTGTCTGGAAGGCTTTGCTTGTATATTTTAGAAGAAATTAGTTGATAATGTGTTGTGGTTTTATTGGGAGGGGTTAAAGGGTATAAGGTGGAGAAGTTATGTTTAAATTATTTTAAAAGGAGACTATATCTAGCTTAATTTTTAACTCAAAGCTCAGAGGTTCTATTGAAATACTTTTGCCAAATCATAAACTTGTAATTAACCTTTTGCTTGTGAAATATCAATATAAGATAATACTTTTGTGCATGTAATGGGGAAAGTTCTGGAAATGGATTTATCCTGCATAGCATTTTTAGAAGGAAGCATGAGGAATGCACATGGTATGTATATGCATTTGGTTTGATTTTGTAGTGCTGGGAGAAGACAAGTATTAAAGAAAAATGTAGTTTTCAAAAGATACCAAGAAGTGACTTAAAAAATATTTTAAAATGTAATTATATTTCTGACATGTTTTTAAAATATGGGAAAGTTTATACTTGTATTTTGATTTTTTTCCGTAAAGGTATTTATTTGCTTAATTAGGAAATGAAAATAAGTTTTAAGTTAATAACCATTGAGTAGATAGATATTCAGAAAGGAACTCTCATTTTTGCCTTGCCCAGTGTTGTCTTACACACACTTGGTCTGGAATAAGAATCACTTACATAGGTTTACTCTGCTGGCTTGTGGCATTCCCAGATTCCTAAATTTGAATGTTTTCAGCTATTTTATAAGGTAGGAAAGTAACTTAATATAGTGGCAGTTTTTACTTTTGTTTAGTGTGCTTTTTTTTTTTGTTTGTTTGTTTATATAGAGGAAAGCCCTGAAGCAAAATAATTACTGTAAAGATAATTGTTTATAACTTTGAGTCCAGCTGACGAAATGACTTAGATCTTTTCCCCAGAGCTATTAACTGCCATTGTATAATTAAATGTGTTTTTAATCTTGAGATTTTTAGAGAAATACGTTTTCATGCTTGAAAAGTAAAGCACAGGTGTTTCTTTCTAAAGATTTTTAAAGATTTCCGTCTTGGTAGTAATGACATAATATTCATTACTTTTATTCTTTTGTAGAAGTGAGTTAGCATTTTTTAAGGCTTGATGCTGATTTGACCTGTGAAAATAGAAAGGCTTAGTTTGTTACCTTAATTTTACCTCAATATCAATTAGTTATGGTAAACATAAGCTTGAACTGTAAGCTATAGAATCATGAATTATGTAATTTTCACCATATTGCCTTTCTTAACGTGAGTTTCTTCCTTAATGTTGATCTTCTTTTATGTTCTTTTGATCTTACTCCCACTTTCAGCATTGTGGATTTATCTTATGGTCAGATGGGAAACCACATTTCAGTATCTTTTTACAGACTCCACAAAGGGGCTTGTAAATTGCTGAATTCAGTTTTCCTAAACTGAGACTTGAGCAACAAATTTGAGAAAATATGTGAAGAGATTGTTTTTCCTACAGGTTCATATGAACAGGAATGCCCACTCTTTCCCTGGGTGGCATTAATAGAGAGGTGCTTTTTTCCTTATATTTCTACAAGGTTGGTAGCTCAGTTTGTGGACCAACTCTGTGTAGCATTAGGATTTTTTCTGTATGTCCAACAGTGATTTTCATACACTTGGAATAATACGTTTTGAAAAGCAGGATAGGAAAAGCTAGAGCTTGAAGCTTCACAGGTTGCTGTTGGAAAGAAATTCTTTTCTTTTGTCTTCACTTTGAAGCTGAGCAAGAATCAAATAACCCTGCAAGACAATTTAAAGAAGAAGAGCAAGAGCAAGTTGATTGTTTTTCAGGAAAAAGTACAGTCTTTAGAATCTGGGGAGAAAGAAAGTGCAAATTTCAGCCCTGTTAAATTTGGATTTTGGAAATCATGACAGTCGTCTCACTCTTTTTTTTTTTTTTTTTTGAGATGGAGTCCTGCTCATCGCCCAGGCTGGAGTGCAGTGGCACGATCTTGGCTCACTGCAAGCTCAGCCTCCCGGGTTCACGCCATTCTCCTGTCTCAGCCTCCCAAGTAGCTGGGACTACAGGCGCCCGCCACTACCCCTGCCTAGTTTTTTTGTATTTTTAGCAGAGACGGGGTTTCACTGCGTTAGGCAGGATGGTCTCGATCTCCTGACCTCGTGATCCACCCGCCTCGGCCTCCCAAAGTGCTGGGATTACAGGCGTGAGTCGTGTCACTCTTTTATAGCAAGGATGCTGATTCCTCTGTGCATGCTCTGGACTTGTGATGCCCCTGACGTGAATATGTTTGACTCTCTTTTACAAGCATGCACGTTTATTATGAGCTCTTTGCTCAGAGGAATATTAGAAAATCTTCAGTGTTGAAAACATATTTAATTTCGGTGAATAGCTAAGGTAATAGAATGATATATATCAACTATATTTTTAAAGCTGAATTTCATTTCTTTTGGCTATTAATATAGATACAGCCAAAAGAGGAGGACCAGAAACCATTAACTTCATCGAATCCAGTGTTAGAACTTGAACTGGCAGAGGAAAAATTACCTATGACGCTTTCTAGGCAAGAGGTAAGTTTATTTGTGATTGTTTCATGAGAATCAGATCTCCACGGTGTTTACATTTATCTCCAGCTTTTCCGATAAGTTAAATGTCATTCTTTCCTGTGTAAAATGACTTACCTAAAAATGCTGTGCAGTTAGTTTTCTTCATGAAGTTTTTAAATTACTCACTGCTTCTTTTCTTGATATTATTATCTTTTTTAGAGCTTATCCTTCTGAACTTTAAAAAATAAACATGAATATATTCAAAAATAAGTGTAATTAAATGTACTTATGCTAAATATTTGTACTTACATTATTTTAATTATTATAGTATTTTGTAACATACTTCCCTTTCCCTTATTTAATAATACATCTCTCCAGATTAAAATATGGAGATCGACATAATTTTGAATGAGTGTGTCATTTCCCATTGCTTGTTTGCTCCCATTGCTTGTTTATTTATTTATTTTTGAGGCAGAGTCTCACTGTGTCACCCAGGCTGGAGTGCAGTGGTACAATCTTGGTTCACTGCAATCTCTGCCTCCAGGGTTCAAGCGATTCTCCTGCCTTGGCCTCCTGAGTAACGGATTACAAGCATGCGCCACCACACCAACCTAATTTTTTGTGTGTGTTTTTAGTAGAGATGGGGTTTCATCATGTTGGCCAGGCTGGTCTCAAACTCCTGACCTCAAGTGATCCTCTGCCTCGGTCTCCCAAAGTGTTGGGATTACAGGTGTGAGCTCCCGCGCCTGGCCACACCATAATATTTTAAAAAATCATCTATTGATGATCATTTAGAATACTTATTATCAATAATACTAAGATGAACATGCTATGTAGACATCATTGCGTACATTATAATGTGTGATTATTTCCTTTGGAAACATTTCTAGAAGCATGATTTTTAGGTCAAAGACTATGTGTGTGTATATGTGTATATATATATATTTTAAGACTATGTATATTTTTATGACTTGATACATATTACCAGATAGCTCTGTAGGTATTAGCCACGTTGTGCCACTTTATACTCCTAGCTGTGGTGTTTATAGTGTCTGTCTATACCTTGATCAGTATCAACTATTATTTTACTTAAAAAAATCATGCAATTTAAAGATATTCATGTGATATAAAGAAATCAAATGAATACAGAAGGCTGTAAAACAAACATTTCTTCCCTTTTTCTTATCTTCCATTTTCCCCCACTTCCCCTCTGCCCCCATCAGTCCTTCTCCTACGCATTTCTTCACTTGTACAAGCATCAGTGTGTATGTGTATACCTTTTTTCCCCTTTCACACAAATGAGATTACATGCATTTGTACCTTAGTCTTTTCACTTAAAAATACATTTTGAAGGCCATTTTATGTTGGGGTGTGTGTGTGTATGAACATTTTTCACAGTAAACGTGGTTTTGGCAGGTTACCTGGTCTGTTTCTGGATTTCCGTATGTCTGAATGAGGGTAACAATTGGGTCTACCTCAGGAGACTTTCATGATAAAATAAGGTAATACATGAAGAGAACAGTACTTAATCATGAGTTACTCAACAAATTTAGGTGTTGTTTTTAGTAGTAGTTCTGCAATTTATTACAATTAGCTCTTTACTGATAAATTACTTCCAGTTGTTTGCCTTTACGTACAGTGCTGAGGTGAACTTCCTTATACATATGTCTTGATAATTTGTATGAGTTTATCAGTAGGGTAATTTCCTAGGAAAAGAATTTCTGGTCAGAGAGTGTGTCTATGTAATTTTCGATGGTGTGTGGAATTGTCCTACAAAGAAGCTGTGCCAATTTACATTCCAACTGTAAGTATATCAGACTTCCTAGCATTTCTGTCAACTGTTTAGTTTAAAATGTTGCAGCCTTTGCCAATCTGAAAGCAGTATTATTACTTTAAATTTTTGCCAAACTGATGGGTGAAATAGGTACCTTATGTTAACTTGAAACTTTCTGTTAGTGATGATTAGAATTGAACATGTTGTCATGTGTTTAGTGGTCATTAATGTCTCTTCATTTGTGGAATTGCTGTTTTTATATTGTGAAATTTGTCTTTATTGATTCGCAGATCAACATGTTTATATGTTAAGGGTGTTAACCTGTGTTCATAAGTGTGTATGTATCAGATGTACATAGCATATATATATATTTATCAGTGTATCATTTGTTTTTTGCCATGCAGAAGTTTTACATTTTTATGCTGTGACATCAGTTTTTTTTATTTTTTTTTTTTTTTTTTGTCTTGGGCATCATGCTTAGAAAGGTTTCCTCTATTCCTAAGAGTTAAAAAAAGATATGTTAATTTTTTTTCCACTACCTTTATGAACTCATTCTTTATATATAAAAAATATAATTTTCTTTATATTTTATTTTTGTATCTCAAGTGAGCATGTATTAACTTCATAGTCAGAAAAATACTTGAAATTTCATGTCACTTATATTTTTTAGAATTCTGTTACTTTTTGATTTTTCGAGACAAAGTTTCGCTGTGTCTCCCAGGCTGGAGTGCACTGGCATGATCTAGGCTCACTGCAACCTCCACTTCCTGGGTTCAAGAGATTCTCAAGCCTAAGCCTCCCGAGTAGCTGGGACTACTGGTATGCACCACCAGGCCTGGCTAATTTTTGTATTTTTAGTAGAGACGAGGTTTTGCCATGTTGGCTGGGCTGGTCTTGAACTCCTGACTCAGGTGATCTGCTCACCTCCACCTCCGAAAGTGCTGGGATTACCGGCAAGGGCCACCGCACCTGGCGTAGAATTTACTTTATCTTTAAACATTGAAAAGCTTGAGTTAAAAGATGAAGTAGTTTTAAGAAGTTGTTCTTTTTGTGAGATCCATCATTATTAAACCATTGTTACTGATTAATAGTGGTACATCAGTTAAGTACTAGACATGATGTGGGGAAGAAGTTCCTTCCTTTGCTCAGGGAGCATGTATTGAAATAGTAAAAGAGGACTCAGAGGCTTAAGTTCTTTCAGTGATGTCCCTTTAGTCTCTGTGTCATTTTTGTGGAGTGGTGGTGGTGGTGGTGGTGTATTTCAGCTTCTTTATTTAAAAAATTCGAATAATAGAATTCTTGCACCAAAAGAAACTTTGAAGTCAGGTAGTTTATTACCTTGCCTTTAGACAGAACCACTGTTATATAATTCCAGATAGATGAGAGTTAGCTATTTAAACTGATAACCAGAAAAATATTATGCACTCCTCACAACGTGGCCTAAGGTATAGCACCCAATGTTAAGCAGTGTTTTGCAGTAATAACTAGCTCACATTCCCTTTCTTTTTTTCTGTTTAGGTTCTTTTTGTCTTTGACTGACTTAGGGTCATCTTTCATCTTTGAGTCCTCGGTAGTCTCTTCCTGTTCTACCTCTGTAGTTGTGGATAGGGCTGAATGTAAGTCATAGAAATATAGTGTCTAGATCAAAGGCTTATGTATTCTGTCCTTCTCACAGGTTGACATGTTTGCAGTATTATTTTTTAGTTCTACATTACCACATGCTTATGACAGACATTGCACAAGAGGAAACTTTCAGGGGAATGACTGACTGACTCTAGAAACCATCATGTGAAGATGAGGTGAAGGAATTGAGAATGCTGAGGCTGGAGAGAAGAATTACTAGAGATATCCTTAGAAATTCAATGAAAGTAGCTCTGATTTTGGAAAATCGGAATATTCTCTGTAGTTTCATAAAGTGGAACTGGGATAAATGGGTAGAAGTTTGAGGGAAGTAGGTATCAGTTTTGAGAAGCAAAACATATCTGTCCAAACAATGGGATGGGATGTTTCACAAAGAAATGTGATTCCTGTCGTTTGTCAGACAGGGACCTGACAAGGGTGTTTGTGAGGTCATTTCTGCATTGATTGGAGATAGTGCTAGATGACCTGTTAAATTTGTTTTAATATCAAACTTCTGTTAATCCAGTGAGAGCCCTCCCAATGGATTTTGGGTGTGATGCTGTTTATGCTCCCAGGTAAAGCTCTTGGTGTTTCTTATTACTGCTTTTTAAAAAAAATTTGGACTAATCTTTATTACATTTTCTGTTTCTTTCTTCCTTTTTAAAATGACATATAGCATGTATATAAAGTGTATGAAACGTATTAGGGCAACATACGTTACACATGTATGAATCATTATGAATAATTACAAAATAAATATTCATATAACCATCACCCAAGTTTGGAAATAGGTTTTCAGCATCTTAAAAGCTCCCGCATATGCAGATTATAACTCCCTCTTTTCTGAGGGAGAAGTTTTTGGTTTGATGGTGGTATTACAATGCGGACTCTCCATTATGGTAGTTATCACCTGGCTTCAGATTTGATTTTCCTTCCTCTATAAATGCTGTCATTCCCTCCTATCTTAGTGTTTTTCCTATGTGTCCTGCTGCACAGATTGGTCCTATCGAAGCACTGAGCTAAACGACTTAAACTTCATGGTTACTTAAGGTGTGATGATAATACAGTATGTCTGTTCATGGAAAATTAAAGAATAAACAGCTTACTTTTTGCATCTACATTTCAAAACAAGTGTTTGATCACCAAGAATATGCTGGCATAGGGATTACTATTGTCTTTCCATTGTTTTTAAAAGAAGACTAAGAACAGTTATAATGATGTAAAATGAGGGCTACATACATGCCCCTTTTCTTACAAAAAAGAATTTTGTTTTAATCTCGCAGTGGAAGAGGTGGTTTATATGAAGGGCTTTCTTTAGACTTGAATTGTAAAGTCAGAGGTCAGACCGCTTTCTAGGAGCTATTTGGTAATAAAATTAATAACAGTGACTTTTGAGTCAAAATAGATTTTTAACTAAAGTACTTGATTTTCTGTTTGATTTGGAAACATCTTTGTTTAGCTTAATTGAAATGATTTAAAATATTTGAAGGAATTTATACTTTACACAGAAGTATTTATTTGGATAATTAGCTTTGTTAAACACCAGGCTTGGCTTTTAAGGTATAATATACAAATTGTTTTTGAGATGTTTAGTTTTTTCCTCTCTCAAAAGTTAAATAGCTGGATACAGTAGCACACGCCTGTAATCCCAGCACTTTGGGAGCCCGAGGCAGGTGGGTCACAAGGGCAGGAGATTGAGACCATCCTGGCCAACATGGTGAAACCCCGTTTCTACTAAAAATACAAAAATAAGCTGGGTGTGCTGGCGGGCGCCTGTAGTCCCAGCTACTCGGGAGGCTGAGGCAGGAGAATTGCTTGAACCCGAGAGGTGGAAGTTGCAGTGAGCCAAGATTGCGCCACTGCACTCCAGTCTGGGCGGTAAAGTGAGACTGTCTCAAAAAAAAAAAAAA